TTCTGGTACAAGCTAATTAATAAAACAATGCGTGACATGAATGCAATTACTATTGAAGAAATGAGATCAATAGGACCTTTTTGCTATCTACTCCGATGTTACCTGAGCCAGATTCAGTTTCAGCCAAGAAACAGTCATATACTTTACCGTGGCCTACAGATGGAAGATGAACAAATTCAGGAGATCATAAAAACAAACGAACCTGTAAAGTGTTTATCTTTCACATCAACCTCTACAAATCGTCAGCTGGCCGAATTGTTTGGTAATACATTACTGATTATCGAATTACATGTAGATGAAAACGGATTTGTTTCCGGAATGGTTGACTGTTGTTCCAGTATCTCTGATATGTCAGCAATTCCAAATGAAGATGAATTTTTGATTCGACCACCAGCAGCCTTTAATTTTATTAAATATGAATATGATACTGTAAAGCGGAAACATATTATTTATTTGAACACGTAGAAATAGTTCGTCTGATTCATATGATCGATGGACAAGACTCATACATATTTTTCTTTATGTCGAACGCAGAATCAATTTCTTACTCATGATATCCAAATTGGGTGATGTAGCACAACTATTAGAGAGGAATTAGAGATACATGTGCGTCATGCTTATTGTGAGAGAATCCATAGGATTAATGTCTTTAAAAGAAGGAAGACAACGAAACACATTTCCTGAAATTATTTTCTTTCTCATCGACTGTTTTCGTTCTACGAATGTGGTTCATCACAGTTGCACGTTTTTAAGTTTTTGTACCATATAATGCGCATTGACCATTCTCCGTAGAGCAGATAAAAGCAGTATTACAGTTCAATTTCATTACAGAATAAAAACACAAAGATTAAACAAGGGTGTGGGTGAGGATATTCTCGTTATTTACCCACAACCCACACCAACACTCAATAGTTACATTGCATCAATTTTTTCCGTTCTCTTAAATGTACCTTCCTTCAGTTGGTTGACCATGGAAGACAAGGTTCTTTTATGATTAATTCGCTTACGAAATGGAATATTGAAATGTAGAAGAATTTGACGTCGAAAGATGTACTCGATAAGGATACGCTGATTAATGTTCACTTCAAAGTTTCCTGTAGCACTTTGTATTGACACTTTTATAAACCAAATAGACCCATTAAACATCCTCATTTATAATTTAAAATAAACTATTATGGAACTAAAAACTGTAGCACCGCCATACTTGAACCCAAGTATTTCATTCATACAACTATACATTTATATTTAACCTACCAGTTTTGACTCTTGGATTATTGCTCAACAGTCAATAGTTAGTTCGTTGTTGCTCTTCAAAGACAAGATACAGCAAAATAAAGATTTTTTCTCGCAAAGCAATCCAACAATTTTGAACATTTTTAAACGTGCTTTACAACTTGCTTCCATGATAACTGTCAACCATAATGCGGCGAGAGTACTCTGAAAAAAAACTGGTACGATACGAAACTTAAAAAAGGTTTCGAATTTTGCAACGAAATCGAAAGCTTTTTTTAGGTTTCGTACGAGCTACGAAATCTTTTTCAGGTATCGTACAGTTTTACGAAACCTTTCGAAGGTTTTGCAGAGTTTAACGATACTTCAAAAAGGTTTCGATTTCGCTGCAAAATTCGAAAACTTCCAAAATACCTTTTTTTAGTGTAGTATATGGATGAGGGTGTTCGTAAGAACTTTCAGTCATTTTTGTTTTCTAAACAGAAATTTTCACGTGATTATTCTATTAAATATGTTTGAAATAATAAAGTGTAGATATTGCCTTAGAAGCCTACGAGGATAACGGATACTATTTCAAAATTAGTTGAATTTTATTCGAATTGTGTATTTTTTTAATATTAGTTCGGTTGTAACACCTTGATTCGTACATGATAATGAACGTAGTAAATGATTTATCAAGTAACACTCATAATAATTCAAAATATCTGATCTATATTGATCATAATGAGCATATAAAACTTAGTATAACTTAAAATTTTTCAATAAAATGATTCTATCTTCCTGAGTGTACATAGCCACTTCCATAAAACAATGTCTTCAGTTATTCACCATCTTTATTTTTAGTGTTTATCTCATGGAAGAATCATTTACCATCTTATCGAATCTCAATGACATGGACAGTTTATGTGACGACAGTATTATTATTTGGTTAGATGATACCATTGGTAGCTCAACAGAAAGTCAGTTGTTCAATATCACTGGTGGATTACGTCAAACAATTGGCTATCTAGAAATAGTTCCTGATTTTGATCAATGTGTCGAATTAATTTCTTCTACTAACTTTAAGCACGTCTTTCTTATCGTCTCAGGTACATATAGCGAGGATTTTGACGTGACGCCGTTTGATAAGGTAATCGACAATGTCTTGATTTATATTTACATATTCCACCCAACTGTGTATGAGAATTGTTGTGGTAATATTCGAGGATATTTCCATGATGCACATATATTAATCGATAAAATATATAGCGATTATATGACCTTTACAGCCGGTGCCGTATCTGATACCAAGGTTCGTCGGATGGATACTAATGGAAATACGACACGCTCTATCCATCCGCAATTGATTAAAGTAAAATGTATGAATGTCATATTCAAAATTCTTCACCACTCACCACCGCCACTTGATCAATCACGTGCGAAAATGATCGAATTTTGTAGATCACATTACAAAGACAATGTTGTTCACCAAGGAAACATTACCAAGTTTGAAATAGAATACCAGTCATCCGATGCCATTCAATGGTATAGAAGAGACAGTTTTATATACCTTTTATGCAACAGAACTTTTCGAACAAATGATATTAATTCAATCATGTATTTTAGTTTTTTTACTATTGATCTTTACAATCAACTGAAAAAATTACATTACGATCAACAAATTCAGCAAATATTCCCAAGTGTTGTTTACCGAGGACAGTATATACGTCGAGATGAGCTTAAAAAACTACAGGACAATGTTCGTGGATTCGTCTCACTTAACTCCTTTTGGTCAACAAGGAGAACCCATGACATACCAGAAATGTACATTGACAGAGTACCATCTGCAGATTCCGTATCGGTCATCTTTAAAATCGATATTGATTCAAACTTCTCTTCATCTAAGCCATTTGCCGAGGTGTCTGGTCTGTCTTCTTTTACCGACGAATGTCAAATATTATTTCCATATGGCACCCTATTCCACATTATTTCATGTGAAAAAATTAACAATCACTTCTGGTCATTTCGACTGACATTATGTGATCATTCAAGTTTAACTGGGCAAACTGTCTCGGACTATTTTGATGTGATCATGTTACGATTATTAGAAATCTTGCCACAAATTTCATCCAAAACTAGCAAAGCCAATGATCGAATGCTCGAACAGTGTCGATTGTGTTATAAAGATAATCGAATAGAATTGGCTAAAATCGATGAGTTCGAAAAAGATTATCGTTCTGACTCAGCTATCCGTTGGTATACAAAAGATTCATTTCTCTATCGTTTGTTGAACATGGCATTAAGATGTGAAAATATTGATATGATTATTGATTTTCGATATTTTATCATCGATTTATATGAACAACTCACATTATCACACATTCAATATATGAGAACTTTTGAAGAACCAACAACATTGACTGTTTATCGAGGTCAGAAGATCAGTTCATCTGAATTAGATCGATTGAAACATGATGTTGGACGATACATTTCTAACAAATCATTTTTTTCCACTACATTGTCAAGTGACGTTGCGTTACTCTACGCTGGACTGAATGAATCCGATCGAGAATCTCTTCTAGAATCTGTTCTATTTCAAATCGATATCGATATGACTAAACGAACGTCATCGAATAGAAACAATCTATTTGCAAGTATAATACATTTAAGTCATAATTGCGATGAAAAAGAGGTACTATTTATGGAAAATACAATATTTCGAGTTAAATCTGTTGAAAAACCAACTGCAACGATGTGGCTCGTTCGTTTAACTCTATTGAATCAAAATCATGAAGATAGCGAAGAAATGAAAGTAATGAAACAATATCTCGATTATCTGGTAGAGCTTGTCAAGCAGCAGCGTGAGCCATCTGTTAGGTCTTTATTATCAAAGAACAATGTAGAAAACCTATCTTCTATCTTTTTTTCTGGAAAAGATGGATATGGGTGTCGAGTGGTTATATAGCACGTGAAGTCCTCACCAAGACTCACATCCTCGACTCAATTTAAAAATATATGTGGATCTTTTTGTTTCATTGTGATTTTAAAAATTCTTCGGAATTTTTTTATGTTAATTCAGTCTAAAAAATGTATCTAAATTGGTTTTTGTTTCAACACGATAGAAAAAATATATGTTAAATTCTTTTTTCGAAGCCAATGAAAACGATAAGCAACTTTTGTCGAAAAATATGCTGCTGACTAAAATTATCTATAAGTAAAAAAAAAATAATTCATTAGTGTAGTCCAAATCTCTTAACAGCTGTTATATATAACTGAGAGATTTAGAAATTTTTTTCACTAAAATTTAAAGATTCGTTCCATCTGTTATGTTTGGAACAAAAGGACAATAACATCTTGAAAAATCCTTCTGTTTATTTTGTTAAGATTTGACTCAATGTTGATATTGAAACTTTGCGGTGAGCTTATAGATTTACAAATCTTGAAACGAACCTGACCTGATTCGAGCTACAAAATGTGAGAGAATCGTTTCATTCATTCTTGCTAGCTTCTTGATAAGATTCTGGAAATAAAATATTGAATAGTTGCTAGACATAAATCTGGAAAGATTTTAGCTGATTCTTTGTATTTTCTTATCAAGATTCTGATCATACTTGCATTCTTTTAAGCATTTAAAAAATCTGTTCCTGAATAGGTCCGTTCAGGAAGGGGATCGGAGTTTAAGAGGGTTTAATAGTTGAGGATTTCGTTTAATCTTATTTTATTCTTGGTCGTATCATTTTCTGATATCGCCATAACTCTTCGCAGGATCCTCATCTCATGATCGAGAACAGATTTTGACTAATATTCATGAAACTATTTTAATGACCTTTATCAGGCTCCTGAGTACGATTAACAGCAAGCCTTAGCAGGATCCTGCAAAATTAGTTCAAAAGATAAAGTTCCTTCAAGGTTGTCTCAAGAAATGAACATGATTAAGTTGACCAATGAGTAATCTATAAAGATCTTTGCTAAATCTCTACATTTTCTTACGAGGATCCTGATTCAGATTGAGATTGTCTTGCAATGTTTGGACATGGATATTCTTGAAAAGTTCTGAACAAGACTCAAATTGAGACTTTCCAGAATTATTCCGTTTCATAACCTGACTGATTGTAGTATGTTCTTGTCAGGATCCTTCTCTAATGTGGCTATCACTCCTGACAGAATTCTCGTATAAAGAATTAACATAGATCCTGAAGAGAACCTGATAAAATCATCGCAGAATCGTGTATATTAATCTCTAGAGGATCCTTGATAGGATCCTGAGTGAATTCCGTTAGGATTCTGTATTCTCAACTTAGAAAAATATCTGAGATCCTTCCAAAGTTTCTCAAAGAATCAACAAAAATGGGACTAGGATTATTTTAGTTGTAATAGTTTTTATTTTTAAAAAGAAGAAAAAAATTCTGTGCGATTAAATTTTGCCGTTTCAAAGACTAATCTCACATTTTGAAAAACAAGAAGGATACAATAAAAATAAGCTTTACTGTGTGTAGATTGTAGAGCTTATCACGCTGCAACTTGTGGTATGCTTCGTATTTTTAGTATCATGTATAGAATAGTGAAAAAATCAAATGTAAAGGTAAGCTATTTATTATGGGTCATCCATGATATAAATCATGTTTTGAAAGAAAGCACGAGTGTCGTTGTTGATGATACGTATCGTGTTTGTTTTAGGATCTTTGTGCCATTAAATATTACATAACATTTTTATCTAGCGTAATTATAGCAGTAATTAGTATTGCAGCAAAATTTCTTCGTATTAATCTAAATCATTAAGTTTTATATAGAGCTTTTTAATTTTCTCCAATAGCTTGAAAATCGATTTGTAGATTACAACCGAGATAATCAATAATGATTATGGAAGCAGATTATTTTTTCTATCGACTTATAAGTTTTAATTGATTTGAATCGCATTTGCTGGAGAAAGCGAGAAGGAGCGTTCAGAAAATAAAATTTTTAGATCAATTATCAAAAATAATCTTGCTTTACTTTGGAACATTTTCCACTAAGACTTGAATAGGTTCCATAAAAAGAAACTTTTCAGGGTCATATCTTCTCGTATTTCTTTAAATGCATTCAACAAAAGTTATAAACTAAATTTTATTCAGAACGATATTTTTTTTTATTGATAGTTTTCGAATAAAATTATTTTCAATTGCATATAAATTGATATTCAATGAATAAGAAGACAAATATGCAAAGAAATATTGCACCAAGTAGTCGAATGCCTTGATTCAACCGTATAGATTCATTGACATGATCAGAAAATTCTACGTGACATAAAACTAGGGTGTGGGTGAGGATATTCTCTTTATTTATCCACAACTACACCCACATCCTGAGTAATATTCATCATGAAGAATTTCCAATAGAGCTTGTTAGGTCTAAAACTTTTGAAATAAGTTTCCATTTTTCGCAAAAATATAAGGTAAGAGTAATCATTAACTAAATGTAATTTGCACATGTGTTAATAGTCTTATGTTTTTTGTTATTCAATCTTCTGCATTTATTCAAAGCATTCTTCTTACGTAGCCTATTATACAAAGTATTCGAACTAATTATTTGTTCTTGGTTGTTTTGGGGTGTGGGTGTGGGTGTGTGGGTGTGGGTGTGGGTGGGTGTGGGTGTGGGTATGGGTGGGTGTAGGTGTGGGTGTGGGTGTGCAGGAAAAGACACCCACACCCATCCACACCCACACACACACCCACACCCACCCACACCCATACCTCCACCCACCCACACCCACATCCACACCCTCTTCTATCCAGGGAAACATGTACATATGTATATAGCCGTGGATGACTAGATATCATATTAACAAAGAAAAGATATATCTAGTCATCATAGATCAAAGAAATACAATCAGTTACAAACAACACAATCACAAAAAAAGAAAAGGAAGAGAAAAAGAAAACTAAAGAGACCTAGACAAGTAAAATGGAGTGGAAACAATGTGAAGGGCGAGCTCGTAACAGATGCGATGAAGGATTTTACAACTTGGCAACATAACATATAAACAGTGCTCGTGTCACAGATTTTTATCTGTTCTTTTTCTCTAATCATTGTTCTTTCATTCCTTTTATATTCATTCGTCAACTATGCTCAAGAGAGAGCCGCCAGAGAAAAAAATATGTTGCCAAAACTTTGTCGTTAACAACGAGGTCATTGATTTGTTCGTTTGCATTTATTCTCTTTTTTCTATTTCAATTCTTTGCACACAATCAAATAGAAGCAAACAGTAAAAGTGGAACTCGAAAATGACGACATTATTCCGTCGCAACAGAGCGTTTCAGGTAGAAACAAAAATCATTTATCTGTTTTAGATTTTTCCTAGACTGAAAGGATAAGGCTTAGAAACCATAATATACTTAAGTCTGCATATCTGCCGGTAACGTGGTCAAAATTTGATTACATGTCTTCGGAGAATATCCCCGGAAACTCGATTATGTCCTAGGGTATTAGGTAGATAGATATATAGGTATAGGAGATATAGATATAGGAGATATAAGAGATATAGGAGATATAGGAGATATAGGAGATATAAGATACACAGTAAACATTTATTTATTTTTTTATAATCGATTTTTTCGAGCAAGGATTGATAAGTTGAATGAGATATAGAAGGTATAGGAGCCACAGTCAACAATTATTTATTTTTTTATAATTGATTTTTTCAAGCAAGGATTGATAAGTTGAATAAGATATAGAAAACACAGTAAACATTTATTTATTTTTTTATAATTGATTTTTTCGAGCAAGGATCGATAAGTTGAATGAGATATAAAAGGTACAGGAGACACAATTAGACGTTATTTATTTTTTATGATTGATTTTTTCGAGCAAGGAGCCTTAAGTTGAATGAATATATCTGAATGGATCACTATTCAAGGTCAAGCACTATATAAAGATTATTTGCACTAGGTAATCAGTATCTCCTATATCTCCTATACCTATCTATCTCTATATCTCTTACCCTAGGTTATAATCGAGTTTCCAAGGATATTCTTAGAAGACATGATATGCATAAATCATATTGTTTAGACGATATGGCCTATTCGCCAGCTGCCACTTAATGCTCTCACTTTTTCCTTGTCTCTTCTAAATTATTGTATCATGTCCTTTTCCTTATTCTCTCTTTAGTATATAAGTGTGCCAACTGAAACAATGCGCTGATAACACCGTACGACATCATCCTTGTAAGAGGTCAATGTTGTAATTTATTATCCTTGTGCAATATAGTTCTTGCGTAATGTAACCTTCGTAAAGAAAGAGCTCTTCTCCTCGTTCTGATTGTAATTTCTTTCTTATTCTCTCTTCGTTATTTTCTCTTCAGTATATAAGCTCGTGTTTTGTGTAAGATAGTTACATTTGAATGTAGAACATAGTCGAATAAACATCGTGTCTTGTAGCACTAAAACTATGTCTCTCCATTTGTCATAACAATAGTGGAATGCACTAGTAGCTCATTAACATCAATGCCCAACCAGTGATAGACCTGCATCACCATTCTCGTTACATCTTATATCCTCTTGACCAAAATAAATGCAACAACTGATTTTTTTAATTACTTAGGGTATACTAAAAGTTCGTATCCCGACGTTACTTAATCATAGAATAAGCTTTAAGAAATTTTCTTTCTATACAATCTAATAGAGAAAAGAATGCCCTATTTTTCTATACTATTTGATTATGCTTCAACTAATATCTGTTAGCATCAACAGATGGTACATTATGACGCTAGCTTATGTCCAGGGTATATATATGTATACACATATATATATGGCTTTTTTCTTTCTGTCATATATGTATATGTATACGTATATACATATATATGTTTTTTTTCTTTTCTGTCATATATATGTATATGTTCTATTGATCATCATGAGATCATGATGATCTACTCTAAATTGCGTTATTCTAGTTTTTCTATTACGTTTTTTGTTTTTCTTTTCATATTATATATATGATCTTGTTTTTCTCTTGTTATCATCGTTTTCCTTTTGTTATTGTTGGTCATTTATATTTTTCCGTTGTTGTCGTTGCTCATTATTGTTATTGAACAACATCGTTTTCAACATTATATATTATGTGTCATTATTGATATTCATCAATAAAGATCAGATTGGATTCATATATATATATACATATATTATTATTATATTTATTCCAAAGTACGGTAGGCAATTT